CTATCTATCTATCTATCTATCTATCTATCTATCTATCTATCTATCTATCTATCTATCTATCTATCTATCTATCTATCTATCTATCTTGTGAATTGTACATTTATAACATTTAATACAAATATATATTATCCTAAATGGATAAATGATTGCATATTTTTTAAGCAATCGGTAATAATTCAACATTTATCTTTACTTTACTGCCATCATAAATTTATTTTATCTCTAGCTTTACAAATCAAACTTTACTTGCAACCAAATAAAATTTCTTTAAAAAAAAAAGAGTATTTCTATGCATGACTTTACCAAATATTTAAGTTTATGAATTCCATGGGTGGGGACCCATATCCTAATCCTGCTTGCAATTCCATCAGATCCTCAGGTGATGTGCAGACCATCAGTGTGGCATCATATGATGCACTAAGCTGAGGAAATGACCCCAGCTGTGGAAAGTTTGATTCCCAACCATATTTTCTCCCTGGTGAAATCTTCTTTGGATCCACCTCTGTTTGCCTCCCAGCCTTTAGGCTAAATGATGCCATTCAATATTTGCTGCACCAAGCTATTTAAAAAAAACAACTTTTAATCTGGAAAACAAAGTGCATATACCTATTTACTGAATATGGCTGTTTGTGTAAAAATGTTAGATTATTTTACTATATCAGAGTAGCTAGGGGTACTTTCATATATAAGTGACTTTTTTTATGTGACCGTGAAAGTTAAAATGCAACAGAAAATAAAAAGTTAAAAGGGGGTGAGCCAATCAATTGTTTTGTTTTGTGAAACTTTTCACCATCAATGTTAGTATAACATCAACTCAGCAGATTTTGGATTTCAGTTGGAGGTGGTTTCTCTCCTACAAAACACAGCGTGAGCAAAGGTCAGTGAATCTCCAGGAACTGGTTAATCCAGCTGACTGCTTTTTGTTTACCATAGGGGATCAGGTGAGCAGTGATGTCACATCCTCTCTGGTGGGGAGACCACAATTAACAAATAGCCAGGGTGATAAATATTCAAGGGAAAATGCATCACACCCCTTAAAGTAGCTTATATGTTGCTATGTTACTGACACAGAATGGTGTGTTTTATCAGGATTTTATGTAATAGACCAATGAAAAGTAGAGGATTAAAAAAAAGTTACATGTTTTAAAAATGTTCCACATATAAAGAATTATGTTTAGCATATTCTACAAGGATCCCTTGAAACAAATTAACAGCAACCAAATAAAACCAATTACCTTAAGCTGTTACCATGGTAACGGCAGCATAATGGTGCAGCAATTCTGTCCTTCATCAGAATCAACTTGAGGGAGCGAGAACATATTTTTACATCAGTCTTCAGTTTCCTCTATCTTCACAGGATCTTTGATCTATCATATTAAATCTCAATAAAATATTGTAAAGTTTAAAGTGGCAATAAAAAACTAAATTATACAAAGCACCAAAAAAACACTTGAGTAAACACTAAGGGGATGATGAACATAAACATTCTGAGTTTATATGTTTAATTCTGTGTGTTTAAGATGTGTCACTGCTTCTTTTTGCTGCGTTGATAGCCTTGATCTTTGCCCTTGATATTTGCAAAGTTAGTGGGTTTGACAACATGTGGGCTGATTCACAGACATGCTAGTTTTGGACATTCACCAAAAAAACGACCTCAAAAATGTGTTTTGATATATCGACAAGGACAATTTCAAAATGCAGAGCTCATCTGACAGCTGTTTTATTATTTCAAATAACTAGAAAATAACCAATACTCTGCTAGCGCATTCTGTGACCTACATAAAAGAATGAATGTTCAGCTGTTTGTGTTTGCACTAAATAAAAATTATAATAAAACAACCACAGGCTCATTGTTGTTACTTTTCTCCTACTTTACAGCCACAAAGAAAAAAACAAAAATATAAAATAAAAATTCAACCAAACTGTGGTCTTGTTTTTTGCTGTGAGCTGAGGCTCTTCTAGGAAAGTGCCGGCCTTCTTCGAAAGAGTTGCAGCTGCTCTAAAAAAAAAATAAAGCAGCCTCACATTTCAAGCTCTCACAGCATACAGAAACCATATGGCTTGGATAAGCACAGAGAAGGCAGAGATGAATGGATCTGCTGGATATGTAAGGGAAAAGATTTTCCCTGTGCACACACAGTGTTGCATAACTCATGAACTTTCTCCCGTTTTCTCATGTTTCAACCAAAAGATTTAAAGCATTTTGTTGGGGTTTTATGACACAGACCAACATAAAGGAGCAAGCTGTCATAAGATTAAAGAAAAGTGATTAATGATTTTCTATATTTATCTCAAATAAACGTTTGGGAAGTGTGGCCTGCATTTACTTTGAGGACCAGGCCCCGTTACTGTGGTAACACCAGATAAATGTTAGTATAAAAAAAAAATCCTCTAGAAAACCACTTAGTGACCAGGGAACCTGGCAAATATGCAACATTATTATTATATGAAACTCCTAATCTGCCAAATAGAGCTGAGCAAAGGGAGTTGAATGCAGCTAATATGCTTATTTCTTTGGAGCAACAGCAGAGATGGAAAGGTATGATGGGAAAATCTGCTCACTGGAATAGCAAGCCAAAAACCACTATGAAAACATAACTGAATCTCCTGACGTGAACAGTATCACATGGACAAAGGCTCTCATCAAATGAGACCAAAAGTGAACTTTTAGACGTGCATTTAAAACACCTGTTGTAGTGGGAGAGTGTTAGTCCACAGCTTACCTACTGCTCATATTTGTGCAATGAAGCACTGAGGAGGAAGCATTATATTGTAAGGATGGTTTTCTTCAGCAAAATCATAAAGCATTTCAGAAATATGAGTGGGGTTTTCTGGGATGGTAACCTATGAACAGAGATGGCAAAAGTACTCACTTTCCGTACTTGAGTAAAAGTA